ATAAATGGTGTGTGAATGAGGCCTTAACCCTTTTGCCGCCAGGCTTGCACATTTATACACTTGGCTGCTACAGCAGTGAAGCGATTACTTTTCCACCCACTGTAGTTTGCTGATCCACCCTTCTGTGAATGAACTCAGAAGCAACAAGTTCTACATCACTTCCTCTCATTCCCTGGTTAGTGTGGCCAGGATCCGTGCTTGATTAGCTTTAGGGGTGTGCAGGGGAGATACCAGGAGACTACTAGACCCCTGATGTTTCTTTAACCACTAGCCTACAGGGCACTTATACCCCCTTCCTGTCCAGGACAATTTTCAGCTTTCAGTGCTGTCACACTTTGAATGGCAATTGTGTGGTCATGCAACACTGTACCCATATTAAATTTTTATCTTTTTTTAGACACTGAGCATCAGGGTACAATGGTCATCAGGGCACACTGATGATCAGTGTACATGTCCCCTCTGAGAAATGTTGATTACCGGCTCTCCTCTCCTCACGAGCTGTCAGCTGATCACATGACAGAGCTGACGTCTTTGGCTCTTTCCGTTGATTGGTGATCCGCTGTGTCCAAGGGACACAGCGCACCACTGATCGCCGCGCTGCACGCCCCCGGAGCCGTGCTCGCGCTGTTAGAGTGGGAGGGCATCATATGACATCCTCCCAGAATGAGAGAACCACCTTGCGCCTGTCATTTACTTATATGGCGGGCGGGAGGCGGTTAAAAAGAACCTGTCACTATAATTTTTCTATCATATAGAGGGCTCTTGATCCCATATGCAATAACAAAAAGTCAGGTAAGTAAATCTATTTGTTGGGTGGGGCTACCTACTAAAATGACAATTGCACCATGCATAATACATATTGTTGTGCATGCTTGAGTAATGATTCCAGAGCCATTATTCACTGTTAATCCTAATTAATTCAGATCCTTTTGTTGACTGCAGCAGGGTAGTAGGGGGCCAATCCACTCCAAAGACATGCTGGTAGGTTAATTAGACCCTGTCTAAATTGGCCCTAGTATGTGTATGTATGAATGTGAGTTAGGGACCTTAGATTGTACACCCCTTGAGGGTTAGGGACTGATGTGAATGTACAATATATATATGTAAAGCGCTGCGTAAATTGACGGCGCTATATAAGTACTGAAATAAATAAAATGCGACCTGTAAAGTCTTTTAAAGCATCACCTATGGACAATTTTGAGTACCAAAGTTTCTCACGGTTGCACAGGCATGCACAACTTTAAGGCTTGGGTATCTATTTACTCAATGCAACTTCATCTTTCATATTGCACCAAAACTTGAGTATTGCATTTGTCTACCCAAAAGTTAACTTTATTGGGGTTTTTTGTTACTGAAAATACTGTATGTATTGGATAAACAGTTTTGCTAATATGTTGCATAAAAATATGTAGACATGTGCGATTCATTTTGTTATGAATCAAAATTTAAATGAAATGTTTGTTATTCTGAGATTTAGATGTATTGAATCTCTGAATCACAATAGTAACGAATTTCAACGAATCTGAAATCAATTGTAACGAAAACAGCTAAATCATTCGTATTCATTTGTTTAATTCGGATGACAAGATGAGATAGTGTGTTCATGTTTAAAGCATCCGAAATAGTGTAACGACATAACGAATTATCCAAGTTAATTCAGATCCTTTTGTTGAGAGAAGCAGGGTAGTAGGGGGCCAATCAGAGCCGCATTTTACATGTAATCAGTTGTGTCCAATCATAGCTGACCACATATAAACAGGAAATGCCAGTTATTGGCAGTCCTCTCCTCACGCTGACAGTGCGTGAGGAGTGGAGAGCTGCTATGTGGCATTTCTCAGTGTGTCATCGACACTGATCATCAGTGCCCTGACGATCAGTGTAGCCTCATCAGTGCGACCAATAATGCCCATTAGTGCTGGCTTTCAGTGTCTGTCAGTGCATATCAGTGCAGCCTATTAGTGTTTCATCAGCCCACATCAGTGAAGGAGAAAAATCACTTATTTACAAAACATTTTAACAGAAATTGAGAAAAACCTCTTTCAAAATTTTTGGTCTTTTTTTTGTTAATTTAGCAAAAAATAAAAACTCCAGTGGTGATTAAATACCACCAAAAGAAAGCACTAGTTGTGTGAAGAAAATGATAAAATTTTAGTTTGGGTACAATGTTGTATGACCGTGCAATTGTCATTCAAAGTGTGAGAGCGCTGAAACCTGAAAAATGGCCTGGGCAGGAAGGGGGTAAAAGTGCCCTGTATGGAAGAGGTTAATAGCAAAAAGTCAAAAAGATTTTTTCTCAAAAATTGTCAACCTTTTTTTGTTTAAAACACAAAAAATAAAAACCGCACATGCGATCAAATACCACCAAAAGAAAGCTCAATTCGTTGGGAAAAGATGTAAATTTCATTTGGGTACAGTGTTGCATGGCCGCAATTGTCAGTTAACCTCCCTGGAGGTATTCCCGAGTGTAGCTCGGGGTAAGTTTCAGCACCACAAGCGGTAACCCCGATCTACACTCGGGAATACCCTGCAGCATTGCTCCAGGACCTCTTCTTCACTTACCTTGTCCTTCGCTCCTGCAGTGTCCCTGGCAATGTCCTCCGGCCGATGCCGGCATCTGTCATCTGGGTTCCGTCCCCTGCGACGTCGGGACGTACGGGGGATGGAACGGCGGGAAATTTAAAAATGACAAAAAGTGACATTCACTAAAATCACATAGTATAACTTTACTGTATCAAACCATTTCACATACATTTTGTCCCTAGTGCTTTGTCCTGTCCCGTCTGCATTTTACTGTTCTTTCTGCCTGGAAACTGAGAAAAGTCCATGGTGTCCAAAAAGCGTCCCTTTAGGTCAAAAGCAGTTTTAGACCAGCTAGAGAACAGCGAAATTAGAACTACTTGCAGAATTGAGTGATAATGATTTGTGGGGAAATTCGGCATCAGACACTGAAAATGATTCTGCGACTAAGATCAGTGATTTGTGAACTTGGCGCTCTATTTCAAATTTCAGTGTTTTCGGTTTGATTATATTATGGAATTAAATTTATTATTATTATGTTATTATTTTTATTATATTATAATTTATGATTTTGTGTTTCAAATTTTATCATACCCAGGATGTTTACTAGACTCTTGTTCGGACAGATTTCAGTGAGTTATTCCTAAAAATTACAGACCTACAATAAAAAAGACATATTTCCATGCAAAAAAATGTACCGCTTTGAGCACAGAAATATGGACATAATCAGACTACTAGGGAGGTTAAATTATAATTTATGATTTCGTGTTTCAAATTGTAACATACCCGGGATGTTTACTAGACTCTTGTTCCGACAGATTTCAGTGAGTTATTCCTAAAAATTACAGCCTACAATAAAATAAGAACATATTTCCATGCAAAAAAATGTACCACTTTGAGCACAGAAATACTGGCATAATCAGAGCGCTAGGGAGGCTACAGTAACACAGCGCCGTAAAGCAAAAAATGGCCTGGTCAGGAGGGGGGTAAATCCTCTGGACGGCACGTGGTTAATAAAGGATTGCCATCTTCATGAGGCACACATGGGTGGTGCAGGGGCGGACTGACCATTTGAGCACTGCCTGAGGCCTGGGGTCAGTAGGGGGCCCCATGAGATGCCCCTGGTACCTTTTTCATAGGCTTTTTTGGGTGTGGGAAAGGACACAGGGGTCCCATGATCCCCTATTGCCCGGGGGCCCCAAGAGTTGTCAGCCCGCCCCTGGGGTGGTGTGTATGTCACCTCCTCTATGGCAGTCTATGGCATCGCTTTCCTCCCCGGTGTATGAGTGTCCTGCCTGTGTACATGCCTATGACACTTACCATCCACAGAGGGCACTGCTCCGCTCCCTCCGGCTCTATGACTACCACTCCCAGCTCTGGCTCTCGCTGTCGGAAGTATTGGAGGATGTGTGGGCGGGGCCGTGTTGTGGTCCGTACACATGGTACCCCTGGATGTAGTCCTGTGTAGGGAGAACAGGTGGAGTACATAGAAGGCGGGAGGGATGTCTTTCCTCAGGGAGATGGGGCTAGCTGCTGCTCTTCTGGCTGCTACCGGAGGAGCGGCAATTGCTACATGGAACTACATCAGTGCCAAGAGAAGAAAGGAAGCTGGACGGGAATGGAAGCCACCACAGGAGGGGCCCCAGAGGACAGAGGAACCGTCTATAGTGCCTCATTCCGGCCAGGACTCTATGAGCAGACACTGTGTACAAGGAGCGGAGCTAAGCGACTCAGAGAAACAACAGGGAGGGCAGGGCACCGTGTCAGTGCCAGAGCATGAGAGAGCTGGATACCCTGTGCAGAACATAGCACGGCCAGAGGGGGCAGCACTGCAGGTGGAAGGAGAGAGGTCAGTACAGGAGGATAGGGGATTAGCAGAGCAGGTGGAAGGAGAGAGTGCATACAAAGTGCATGAGGATGAGGATAGCTAGGGAGATCAGCATTGCAAGTGGAAAGGGGGATCAGAGCAGCATTGCAAGGGAAAGGGAGAGTGCAGACACAGAGCAGCATAGGGGATCACAGCCAGGGGGATCAGCATTGCAGGTGGAAAGAGAGAGTGCATGCACAGAGCAGCATAGGGGATCACAGCCAGGGGGATCAGCATTGCTGTGGAAAGGGAAAGTGTATGCACAGAACAGGATAGGGGATCACAGCCAGGGGGATCAGCATTGCTGGTGGAAAGGGAAAGTGTATGCACAGAACAGGATAGGGGATCACAGCCAGGGGGATCAGCATTGCAGGTGGAAAGGGAGAGTGCAGGCACAGAACAGGATAGGGGATCGGCATTGCAAGTGGAAGGAGAGACAGAAGGGAATGCATACACAGTACAGGAAGATAGGGGAGCAGAGCAAGAAACATCAGCAGTGCAGGTGGAAGGAGAGAGAGAAGGTAGTGCATACACCGTACAAGAGGACAGGAGATCGCAGACTGATAGAGCTGCATACACCGTGCAGGTGGAAGAAGAGAGGGCAGACAGCACAAACATGGTGCAGGAAGACAGAAGATTACCACCAGAGAGATCAGCAGTGCAGGTGGAAAGAGGGATAGCGGGAAGTGCATATACAGTGCAGGTGGAAGGAGAGAGAGCACCTAGTACATACACAGTGCAGGTAGATAGGAAGGCAGACAGTACACACATGATACAGGAAGACAGAAGAACACAGCCAGAGGGATCAGCATTGCAGGTGAAAGGACAGTTAGTGGGAAGTACACACAAAGTGCAAGAAGGAGACAGAGCAGTCACTACATATGTAACACAGGTAGAGAGATCGCAGCAGGGGAGATCAGCAGTGCAGGTGGAAGAAGAGAAAGAAGGGAGTCCATACACAGTACAAGAAGATAGGTCAGAGCTACAGACATCACCTATGGAGCCCCCTATCATAAAGGAGCTCAGTGACAGCAATATTTGTACAGAAGTACAACCTCAGGTAAGAACCCTCTGTGATAAACAGCTGTTGCTTCCTTCCTGTTTTATGCCCTTAGTTTTAAACGCTTGTGTTGATTGCTTTTACAAGTGAATCAAACTTGCAGGCCACTGACATGCCAAAGAAAATATTGTTGTCCATAGATTATTCTTAGTGGCCTTTCTGTCGAGCGAGAATGGCCATAAATTGATTGAAATTCATTCCATCCTTGCTGAACGAACCACATTTTGATCATCTATGGCCAGGCTTATAAAGATGGAGGTAAATCAGTTCCTTACAGTTTAGACAGAAATCTTGTGCCTAAAGTGGACCCTTTAACCACTTGCCCACCACCCTATAGTACAAATACTGCTACAGTGTGGCAGGGCTGCACAAAATCACGTGTATATATACGTGATTCGCATTTCTGGGTAGGGGGCGCTGCAGCTACGGATGTCAATCACAGAGATTCCCCACTGGCACCCGGCGATCATCTAGTAATACTGACAAGGGAGAGACCTGTGTATAAACAACACACACAGCAGAGAAATACACAGCAGCATGTTTCCCTAGTAAAACACAGCACATTATGTAAACAGCACATAACCAATAAATCCAAGTGAGTGTCGCGCTCCACTGACAATGATACTCAAAATATAGAATGTATAAGGTGTATGAACATACATATGTCAGGGAAAATTATGTCGAATGAAATATAATAAAATAAATTAAAATTAAATAAAATATTAGTCCAACATTAATTGAAAAGTGACAGTGCAAATGTCTTTAGGTAATCAATGATTCTAATATATCTTCCAGTGATGTAAGACGAGGTAAATATCGTGCGGTCCACCAATCTTAAACTGTGTGCACCTTCACCAGTTATGCTCTCACCTGGCATATATGACCAAACTGTTAAGTGAGGTCATAAAGGCTTGTGTCCCTTTAATTGGACTCAGAGATGAACAGATGGATATATCCATAATCCCTGGATGGATGGATGGACGGATGGACTTTTCCCAGTAGGGGGTCTCGCCGCTTCCCAGGGACCTTTTCCTGGAGATGGATGGAGTTATCCCTCTTCCCACTAGAGGTTCTCTTCACTTCCTTAGGATTTTTACTCCATATGTATAGGTGCCATGTAATGTAAGAATAGGATATAGTGCCTTATCTTCTTTTTTAAAATATGCATTAAACAAGTATAGTACGCTCACATAGATAAGTCAAAATCGCTTTTGTGTGTAAAATAAAGGATCCTCAATGTTTTTTACAAGCTCCAACATACTTGCTGTGTGTTGCCTTTAAGCGTTGTGATGTCAGAGCCCCTCCCCTATGTGGTACACCACCGGGTCACGTGGCTTCATCAGGGGGAAATAATCATTTCCATCCATCCATACACCTTCAGGAAAAGGTCCCTGGGAAGCGGCGAGACCCTCTACTGGGAAAAGGGAAAAGTCCATCCAGGGATTAGGGATATATCCATCTGTTCATCTGAGTCCAATTAAAGGGACCAAGCCTTTATTTATTTATTACAGGTACTTATATAGCGCCGTCAATTTACGCAGCGCTTTACATATGTATGACCTCACTTAACGTTTTGGTCATATATGCCAGGTGACAGCATAACTGGTGAAGGTGCACACAGTTTAAGATTGGTGGACTGCACAATATTTACCTCGTCTTACATCACTGGAAGATATATTAGAATCACGGATTACTTAAAGAAATTTGCACGGTCACTTTTCAATTGATGTTGGACGAATATTTTATTTAATTTTTATTTATTTTATTATATTTCATTCAATATAATTTTCCCTCACATGTATGTTCATACACCTTATACATTCTATATTTTGAGTATCATTGTCAGTGGAACGCGACACTCATTAGGTTTTATTTACTGTGACACACTAGTATGAGTGTGTATAGTGTAGGCAACCCACACATTTTAAATCACTTGGATTATATTTTATCAATTATTTAATAATTGCTTTCACATAATCACATATTTATATATTCTATTGATTTTGTGTATACACCATAATAGCTCACAAGATTTCACATTTTATTATACACACAATTAACCCTTTGATCGCCCCAGATAGATTTTTTTTACTGGATATGTTTTATAGCAAAAAGTAAAAAATATATTTTTTTTTATCAAAATTGTTGGTCTTTTTCTTTTGATAGCGCCAAAAATAAAAATGCAGGGGTGATCAAATACCACCAAAAGAAAGCTCTATTTGTGGGGAAAAAAAGGAAATATAATTTATGTACAGCATTGCATGACTGCACAATTGTCAGTTAAATTAACACAGTGCCGTATCGCAAAAAATGGCCTGGTCAGGAAGGGGAGTACTAGGCTGTGACAGCATGCGGAAAGTGCTGCCAATAACTGTCAATAGTGTTTACATCGCGATCAGCTGTGATTGGACAAAGTTGATCACGTGGTAAAGGGTTGCTGTGATTGACCCTTTACCGTAATCTGTGAAGAGCTGTGTCTGATGGACACAGCAATCACAGGGTGTGCCAGGTGCGCTCCACAGTGGGTGTGCGGTCATATGATGCCCTCCTAGAACTGATGACCACACTGTAGCTGTCATTCGGCTATAGCACAGTCAGCAAGTGGTTAAGTGCAGCCAGCCTGTAATGTTGCTTCAAGCACTGGATCCAGCTCTAGCCTCTCACCTTGACACATACTGCAACACATTATGTTAGCCACACAGGGCTATACAGATCCAGGCCCTCTGACTCAATTATTGGTCTGCGGAACTTCTTTGCAAGAGGCATCTTGAGAGAATGTCCTTTGATGATGAAAGCCTTTTTGATGACTTTTTAGAACAAGTAAGTCACTGGAGGTACCTTCAAACCCCAGAAAAAGAAGACAAACGCTCCTGTGGGTGACCCATCACCTTCTGGGACAAAAAAGTTACTTTAATTTCTCTAGTGGTCCAAATTCATCCTTGTTTTTCTCCAAACTCACCAAGTCCGGGAACAAGCCGTCTTGATAATGAGGATTTGCCCCACTTGTCTTAATGGAGGGATATCTGTTGGCCATCTAGTCTCAAGACATCCGACATTTGGGTCCAGAGTGTCATATCTAGAGGTTACAAACTAGGGTTTCTGTCTCTGCCTCCACCTGCTTCATTCTCTCAGATTTGCCATCCTGCTCACAAAAGCATGCAGATCTATACACTACTCTCCAGTGGCTCCTCTCTTAAGGTATCATTGCCCTTGTCCTAAACAAGGGAGTATTCCAAGGGTTCTACTCAAACCTCTTCGCTGTCCCTAAGACAGAAAGAGGACCTTCTGGCTTCTATGGACATCTAGGATGCCTACCTACACATTACTGTTTCATCAACACTAGTTGCAGTTTGCTGTGGGCATGCAGCATTAACAAATTGTTGCCCTTCTTATTGGACTATCCACAGCACCTCTGGTCTATACCAAGGTGCTATCACTTGTCTTAGCTGTGCTTCGCTGTCAGGATGTCCACACAGTGGAATATCTATAGACCGTTTACTGCTAAAGGTCCAGATCCTGACAGGCAATATCCAGCGGACCGTGCCAATTCTGTGGAAATTCAGATGGGTTAAAAACAGAGGGTTTTGTTTACACACATTTGCAAGTACATGCATAAGCCACAGTACTGCATCAAGGGTCCTCTGTATACTGTGGACCTAACTCTAAATTTTCAACAGTCTCCATAGTAAGAGCACATATATCAATGGATAGGTTAAGGTATAGCTGGGCGTCACATGTGTCCCTGTACCTTTTAAGGAGGGATGGGCTCCTCCAGGCACACCTGCCCTTAACCTATCCATTGACACGGGACTGTGGCTTATACATGTAGTTGCAAATGTGTGGAAACAAAACCCTCTGTTTTTAACGCAAACTGTTAGTCAGGGCCAAGTTGGTTGTTTTGCAGGCTGGCTGGTAAGTGCTGCTGGGAAATCCTTTGTTTGAAATTCAGATGGGTCCTCAATCTCCAGAAATCGACTCTGGATCCAACTGATTGCTTGGAGTATCTGCGCCGAGTTTTGGATATGGCCCTATCCAGGGTCTTCCTTGCCCACGGCAAACTACTGTCCCTTTGCTCACATGTTCCAACCCTTCGGTCCAAGAGCCACCCCTCTATTCGCTTTTGCATGAGGGTTCTGGGTCTGATGGTAGCTTCATTCAAGGCAGTACTGGAATGGAAATGGAGTCCGGGAAATCCTTTCTCCCAGTCCTGGATACCCTCTTGATATACGTTTCCTGGAGGAGCCATCAACATTCTGGAACTCGGTGCAGTTTGCCCCTTCAACGCTGGACTCCTTGAATGTGAGGTTAAGCAAGCAAAATCTAGTTGGATAATGCCACAGTAGTGGCTTACATTAACTATCAGAGAGGCAACAGAAGTTGTGCAGCTCAATGACAAGAAAATCTCATTCTAGCTTGGGCACTGGCTTTGGTGAGCTGTCCTAGCTGTTGACGGACAGGGGCCTATCGCATTCAAACATCCTTACACTTCTGAAGGCTACGAGATCAACTTCTCACAAAGTCTACTATTGTATCTGGAAACATTTGCATACTGTTAATCTAGAAAGGTCCTTCCTAGGAAGTACTCCGTAGAACAAATCTTGTCTTTCCTTCAGTCAAGTCTGGATCAACATTTGCCTTAAGCACCATCAAAGAGCAGATCTCAGCCTTTGCTATCCTTTTTTAAAGACTGCTTATTTCTCACTCCTTAGTGAAGGCTTTAGTCTGGGCTGTCGCTTTTATTACTACCCCCTTTAGGCTCCCCAGTAACATGATAGGATCTCAAACGGGTTCTTTTAGCACTTCAGAGGCTGCCCTTAAAACCCCTTTTAGGGGTATTCCCTTATCCAAACCCACTGAGGAGGTTACCTTCCTCAATGCTATCACCTGTAAGAGGCAGATCTTAGAGTTCGTGGCTTCCTAGTGATACACAAACATAAACATCCAAAATGTGATTCATGCTCTGTACCACTCCAACACACATCAACACTGGTGACTGTAAT